CCCTCCCTCCCTCCCTCCCTCCCTCCCTCCAACTTGCCCAGCTGTTCAGTAGCAGGTGGGGGAGTGATCTGCCCCTGAATGGTAGTTCAGCAGGTCACCATGTGGCCTTATAATCATTCACGGTCAAAAGGGGAAGTGTTGAGTTCAATGGGTGTGCAAGGATATTCATCGGCTCTCACCCACACACATGTTCACACAATTGGGTCACCTTGCTGTCCCTCCCTTCAGCCAACTGTGTTGCTACTAGTCCACTACCCAGGTGTGCTCTGAGTTCAGGCTGTGCTTGGTTCAAAAGATGTTCCCTTTCCCTCTAGGTTTCCAAGAGTGGTGGAAAGCCCCAATCCTGGTCTTCTCCTTGTTCTGGGCTGAGTGAAGCAGTAATGTATAGTAGACAAAGGATACAGAATGGATGGTGGGGTTGGAGGAAACTGGATGGACATTTAGGACAAAGACAGCTCTTTAGTCTCACAACATATAGGACGCATGCCAGGTAGAGACTAGCCAGGCTCCTGACTTTATTGCCCCATCCCCAAATTCATGGGCAACCACCAGAACCAGCCTTCTTCTCACTTCTAAGTGTGGTGGACCTCTACAAAGGGGAGAGCTGTTTCTGTGGTGGCCTCCCTGTTTATGGATTCCTTCTCCAGAGGAACTCAACTGACACCCACACTAACATAATTTCAGCACCAAATGAAGACCTTTCCATTTTCCCACGCTTTTAAACTGGCTTTTACCTGCATTTTACCTGCTTTTCCATGTTTATTGTTTTAGTCTTTCAAGGACTGCCTTGCAGCTGCCTAGTTTATATGGTGTTTTCATTTTGTAGTGTCTGTTTTTATGCAGACTATTTTTTTTAGTATGCATTATTATAAACAGCCCAGAGAGCTTCAGCAGGTGGGTGGCTTTAAATATTTAAAAAAATAAATAAGCAAATAAATACCGCAAATAGACAAGAGAAGCAGCTTAAAACACAGTTCTCATAAGAGTGATATTCTGTTGTGCAAAAGGGCCTTCCTGGGTTTAGGACGTTTCAGAAGACCGGTGTCCAACCTGGTCTGTGTCTTGAGGAAATCTTGGGAGGGTCTCCTTCAAGACATGATGCCTCCACCACCATGTTATGGCATGGGGCAACTGAAGAAAGGGAACATTTTTTCCTTGGGGGGGGCTCTTTTGATATTTATGGCATCTCTGTTAATTTGTTTTAAAAAAAGGCTATTGATCTTGTGGTTTTCTTATATCATAAGCCGTTCTGAAAAGTTATTTTTAAATGACTTGGTTGAAATGTCTGAAATAAATTAGTAAATAGGCAGACTTTTGTATGACTGAACAGCCACATGTTCTTACTCAATATGAATCGAGTTTGCTGAAGCCAAGGGTGAGACCATGATTACTTGGCAGATCGAATTTGGCTAGTGAGAGAAAAGAGTTTAGCTTGAAAAGATTGCTATGAATTTTCTGGCTGATTAGCAGCTTGCAAGAATATTAGAACGTGGGACCGAAGCTGTCTTGAGACTAGCTTTAAATGCCCATAAATCTGACTGCACCAGATCAGCTAACAAAGAATATCAGATGGTATATCCTTAGCCAAGACCATGTTTGCATCATGGGTAGATGCAAGGAGAGGAAGTCTCAAAATCTTTGTTGGGAAGGCTTGTGATTCTCTCCTTTCAAACACTCAAGATTAGTGTTTTTCAACCTTGGCGACTTTAAGATGAGTGGACTTCAACTCCCAGAATTCCCCAGCCAGCCATG